AACAAGAACAACAACAGGGCATCAGTGATTGTTATATAAATCGTCTACGAGAGTGAAGGGCTTGCAACCAAGGCTGCTGCCAGAATGAGCTCATCCACGGTGGATTGTTGCTGCGTATTTTCGAGAGTACACCTAAGTTGAACTCATACGAGGATCCAGAGCTGATCATCATCATCACCAGTCGTCAATCACGAACGCTTCTGCCTGTTGGAAGAGCCCTTATTGGCAACACCAGCATTCAACAAGTTGTTGAGCAAGTACTCGAGTCGTCCGTCGGCTATAATGGGTAGAACTTCTGCGGTCGGTCGTGGTAAGACGTAGACGAGGTTATGAGCAGAGTCGACCACACCTGCACTGGGGACATCGTCATCAGAGGCTAGGGTTTCGGTTCACCTCTGTCCTCGAAGCCTGCCTCGAGATAAACATTTTTCTCAGAGGCGTCAATTGGGCCCGGAAGTCGCGCCCAAACAGCGACAGCCCCGGGGTCTGCCTTATGGATCTACACAATAGATGAACAATGGCCGCTGAAGGCTGCTCTTACGTATTGAATGAGTCGATCGAGAATCTCGGTCTCTAATAGAACCTTTTTGTACTCTCCCCGGGCGGAGACCTTATTGATGTATACCCAGTCACCATGATAATCAGTTTGAACAACTCCGAATTCCACAGATCCAGCGATGACCTGCAAAGCAACATAGGAGGATCCCAATATGTGATCCTCACCTTTCGGGACAGAAAGCGGTTTTCTATCGCTACGAAGACTTTAGAATCTTTGTATTCCTTGGGTGTCTGTTTTTCCTCCGCAGATTTTGCCAGACGGAACTCCAACGGGTGTTTTTTAATTCGCCGTTTTCCGTTGAAGTCCTTCAGCGTGCGAAGTTCCAGACCGATCACTATCGGCAACATCACATAGAATAGATAGGGGAGGAGTATGGAAGTCATAATAGACACGGACACTAAGGTTGAGTAGGAGGCTCTACAAGGCTAAAGATGGAAATGATGATGTTAAGGGGCACGGAGACGGAGACCTATGGAATTGTACTGTTTCGTGCGATGTCTCCAATAGCGTGGCTCCGAAGTACTCCTTGGAAAAATTACGACGTCTGTATTCAGGACGACGGTTATTGAATCAGCATCGACGTCTGAATGCTAAGACCTCCATCTCGGCGATAACACGACAGTTGCATTGGAGAGGGTAACTTGCCCTGGTCGCGATATCACTACTACTCGCGGTCAGCCAAGGCAAGTGTTTAAAATTCTCCCGAAGGAAGTCTTATTGCATTCCGTTCTACCCTTGAGGGCTTTAAGGTTTGTGAATAAAAAAAGAGTCTTCTTATAAGAAGCCGAAGCCCAATGAGGGGTTCTTCAACTTCACTTTCCAACTCAGCCTTGGGTGATGTTCAACTCCTCATTTACGGATTTACAAATAAAACATTATAGTTGAGTTTCCAGGAACACCACGAGGAGGTCTGTGAGCTCGTTCTGAGATCTAACAGTAAATCTCAATACATTCGTCCTTGAACTAGCCCCATAAATGGACCTTCATTCAAAGTGGCGACCACTACTGATCAACACAACAACAGTAACACTAAAGGAGATATTCTCAATCATAGTCGTTGCGCATCTTCATCCAAAGCTCAGGCTTCCAAGATCGGCCAGCATGGTCCTCGCCTGAGACACTCATCATAGTCACCACACACACCTCTCGAGCCGCCCTACCACTCTGCCCCTTGAACCTCTTCAACCGTGTTCTGTCTTTACTAGAATACCTCTGGGAATCTTGCCTCTCCCGTTTGGACATACTGCTGAAGGTTGGCCTCGCCGATTCTGAGACCGACTATATCGGCAACCCCCCACAGGAGCATCCCCCACCTTCCCTTGGCACGTCCCCTTCCACCTTGCCCCCATCAGTGACCTGTTGACTCTCTTCAATCCTCTTCTGCGCCTCAGCCCTCTTCCGGGCTTCCTCCCGCTCCTTGACCAAGTCGAAAGCCGCGATCTCCCTAAACAGCCGTCCTCCACTATCATTGTAGTCTAAAGTACCCACCGTGACTTAGCCGCGTGGAACTTCTTATAAGTGAGGTCCTCCTCCCTCACCGCCTCAAAGACCGAGTCAAAGGAAGGTAGTCCACTGCCATCATCGGCCCCTTCAGGCCTTTTAACGTCCTCTTCCACCGCCTAACTCAGTCACTGGGTCACCACCTCCTGACCTTATGGCCTTACCACCGACTTATCCTCGTTGTCCTCCTCCCCAGAGCTGTTGCTACTACTACTAGTACCGCTCCGCCGTCTACCAGGAATCGGGTCTACCTCAGAGCCCGACGAGGAAGAGGAGGAGGAGTCCGCATCCGAATACCCCGAGAGCAACATCAACAACTCTCCATCGAAACTCCCGCCCACTACTACACAACAACTAATTACAGCGACAAGGTCATTATAGGTTACGAACAACATCGTCATGCTGATAGTGCCCTACCACACTTCTCTCAAATCGGGGCATACATCTACTCTCACTGACTCGCCCTCCTGTCCTTCTCCTGAGTCTCCACCATCTCAGGTCGAACCATCACCGTACTCCATCGTCGACTTCCATTAGGATTGTCCTTATCCTTCAGCACAGCTGCGGCGGCCATCATAAGGGAGCGCCTACGTTCCTCCATCTTGGCCCCCAACACCGCTTCTAACGCGCTGGGCCTCGGCAGCCCTCCCCCACCCATCAGCCTAGACCCAATTCCGCTGCCAATGAGCCGAGACGCCCTAGCAGCCGTCACGGAGCCCCTCGAGCCCGGTGGGGTACTCCAAATATGCTCAGCTCGAGAGTTTCCCGGTGGGGCCAATACCGTCAAATCCGATGGCAAGGCTGAATTAATAGCACCAGAAAGAGTCTTGTTTCCTGATGCACTCTGACGGCGACCCGCCACCACATGACAAATGGGCTTCAAGGCCTTACGCTGTAACGTGGGGCCATCTGTAGGCTGAGGCCTCCATCCCCTCTCACTATTATTCAACATATGATAGGTCTCGGCCAGTGTTGGTAACCCTATCGCCCGCCCCACAGCCGAGCCTCGAGGGGCTCTCATGCTGCCCGTTTGCGTAGTACTAATAGTCCTCTTCTTCCCACTTTTAGGGCGAGGCGATCTACCACTATTACACGTCCTAGCTTCTACCACTCCTCTCGAGGTCATATAAATTCTTGGTATCGTGAACTGTCTACTAAACCTCCTCTTGGGATCACCATCACCACTCCCCTCTGCCCCTCCAGCCTCCCCAGAAGGTGGCACCACAAGAAGACTCCCTTCAGCCAAGGTCCTCGATCGCTGTGGACTCAGCTCGGCCTTAGGTGGGGGTTTGGGAATGATGACCTCGGGGGCGGGCGGCGAGTCCCTCCTGGGTCCTTCAATACGTGGTCCCTCAACACGAAGATCTTCCACGACCTCCCCGGATTTTGGTGAACCGCCTTCAGATTGGCCCCCCTGAAGTGATAAGGCCAACGCCTCCTCCCTCCTCTTCTTCATCTCAAACACCCTCGTAGCAGCCGCTTTCTGTAGTCGGCACAGGTCCGCCGGTTGGACCCGCCCCATAGAGTAGTCCTCGACGTCCTCCAGCCCCACCGGGCTGAGCTCAGTAGTAAAGTAAGCCGACCAGTACCCCTCAGGGCGGTCCACCTCCAACTCCTCCCTAGCAATAAGACCCTCCCCAGAAGGGTGCACGATCTCATCAGCGAAGAGGGCCAAGGAGCCCAACCTATTGGACTGTTCAGCCTCATTGAGCTTCTTACGGCCCCTGTCTGGTTCGGCCGGCAGTACCGTATTCCACTTATCGAAACTCAGCTTATCTACCTCATCAGCGCTCGAGCGTCTCAAGTACCTGACCACCCCTGTGGAGACCACCTATGACCCCCTTCACACGCTACCATCCATTCACTGCATTGCACTGGCCACATACAGCGTCGGCCATGCTGAAGCCCTTGACGACTCCTCTGCGGAAGGGTGTCGCGGCACCCAAGGCGTCTGTAGAGGTCTTGGGCTGGAGGTTGCATTTTCTCATCGACACCAC